ATGAATGGAGAAATCAACGTGACCAATATTATTTCTAATAGCGTGAGAGTCAATGCTCCGCAAAAGATTAAATGTAAGTGTATTTAAATATTTTTAATCGTATGCTTGGTAGAATGCTAGTGTTTTTGCTTAGGATTTTGAATAACCTTTTTAGAATAGGACATAACCAGATATTATTGAAAATACCATTAAGATTTTAAGCAACAAATGGAATATAAGAAATTTTTGCAAGGTTGGAATAAGACATTAACTAGATAAATATATAATTACATCTTAATATTTATTCTTGTATATAGCCAAATATCTGTCACTGAAAGGTAATCTCTATTTCAAAGACAACTTATATATCAAGGGATTCTTGAATGGGAAATCATTAAAAGATTTTCTTAAATGGACGGTTAAACTGGATGACACTAAGTCTCTATTTGAAGACCCATATCTAAGGCTATCTTTCCAAAATTTAATCTTAGGGGATTTGTCTACACCCTTGATAGGTGACATTAATTTAGGTAAAGATTTAGTGGTTACAAATAGTCAAGATGTTCAACATTTAAGTGGTATATCGGTCGCTATAGGTAATATGGTCTTACACAATCCGCATTGCGTATTAAATGGTAAGGTGAACAATGAGGACTGGAGCAACTTATTTAATAACGACACACTTTTACAGGTGATTGAATTCATAAAATATTTAAATGTAAAAATTATTATTATGCAACTTTTTGCTACAAATTTAATATTAATTTTTAAAAACAGGACGAAGATCAAATAATAAAGGCTAGCAAAGTCTTCCGTATGCCGGTGATATTTAGGAAGGATTTGCACCTTTCTGGCCTTCTTAATAATCTCAACATATCAAACGTTATGAAGTATGTAATACCTTTTAAACTGATAATTTGCCTGCTCATTTCGCGCTGTCATTTAAAGCTCATCTATTGTTATCTTTTAAATAAATTAGTGTCCTACTTTGTGGCAATTACTAATTTTACTCAGTTAATAAAAGTATGCTAAATTATTAATAATATCAATTTTAAACAAGCGCGAAAATATTAAGCTAACATTGTTTAGTGAATGTGCAGAAATATATGGGAGTTCGAGTCGACAGGATTCAGAATCTCCATTTTAAATACAGAGGACAGTTTTAAATTTTGAAATGTGATTTTATCAGAAATGTGAGCATAAATACCTCTATGAATTTAAACAATTTTACAGTGAAATTTTGATTATTTATTTATTAATTTGTATATGGATTCTTAAAATACATAAGTTGATGAAATTGTCTGTCTGAAATATAGGCAGACAAAATTTCCGGTAAAATTAATTTTTTTTTTAATGTAAGAATCACTTTCATAAAATTCTTTAAAATCGAAAATTTCCGAATCCTCGTAGATTTCTAACCCTCATACAATATGCTTATACTCACTCATTTTATATACATATACATAATCAGAGTGAAGGATATGGGAAATGCCAAACAGATTCTATTTTATGATAACGTGGTTCTTAAAGTTGGATTAGAGACAAAAATGTTAGAAGTCAATGGCTTACTCAACGGCCAATACTTAGATACCATTTTCTCAAACTCACTTAAATTTGAAGGTAAATAGTTAGATCCTTAATAACAGCGAAAGGCGTTAAAGTTGCCTTGTGTAAATTGTGCACACTTATAAAAAATTATATCAATTTACATTATTTATATTTGTCTTTTCTTCTTAAAAACGAATTCCCGTTAATCAGATTATTCTTTAAATATTCTCTCCATGTTATTCTATTCTTTAATTCCTAATTAAATAGGTGATCAAGTGTTGACTGGAAACAAAATTATATTAGGAAAGAATAGCGTAAAAATGGAAGATATTCAATTAGACGGTTTAATCAACAGTAAAAATATCAGTCAATTGGCGAGAAATGTTGTTTTAAATGGGAAATCTAATCAGTTAATCAAGGGAGATAAATCTTTTAAGGGACGTTCACTGGTGTTTAACGATATAGATATTAAAGGTCTATTAATATAAAACCTTTAATTATATCTTTTATCAATCATTCAATTTTCTAATAACTTTCCCTATTTATCTTTTGCTAGGTATGGTGAATGGGTACCGGTTGAAAGATCTAGAAAATATTTTGTTAAATAAAACCGATCAAGTTATCTGGATTCCTGTAGTATTTAACGATAAGAGTGTGTTGGAAGGAAATATCCTCTTTGAGACAATCAACAATGTTACTTGGGATATTTATTTAGATGATTTTATAACTATAAACAGAGGAAAAGGTTTATTTTTAAAAGTATTTTAAGTGTTTTGTATATTATCCATTTTTTTCGAAAAATTGGGCGGTGTATTATTAACAACTTTGAAGTTTCATTCATCGTATTGTATGTGATTTTATGAATATTATATTCCCTTCGTCAAAATTAAGAACTAATAATAATAATAAATTATTTAATGCTATCTCTATTTATATATTGCTTTAACAAAACAAACTTAGTTCGCTAGAAAATATAATATTAGACCTATACCCGCCCCTATGGGTCACTGGCCGGTTCCTTAAAATATCGGGTAAGGAATGCCAGAGATTCATTTTTCTTTACTTTATGTCATGTTGCAAAGATATATTTCTATTTATAAATATTTCTCATAAAATAATATAGATCATATCGTCCAGCAACACATAGTGTTCGATAAAATAGTCTTACACAAGGATATAATCTCAGCTGATATTTCCAAACATTTTTCGCTTTCAGGAATTTTATTATCTAGCCATTTAGCACGGAAGGGATCTCCCATTATTTTCAAGCAACCAAAAGTTAGGTTCACCTTCGAAAAGCTCACTTTCAAAAACAACATCAGAATAGATAATAATCTGAATGGGATATCTATAGCCAACATTATTAATACTTTCCAAATGACCAGTGTCTACAACAAATTTATTGATAAAAGCAAGATAACAGGTACTTTAAAAAAATATATCAATTTTATCAATTTTTTTTAAAATTTTCAAGGTAATGTGAAAATAGAGGGTCGATTGATCATCGAAAATTATTTGAATGATATAGTGTTTAAGGATTTATTGTCGAATATTATCCCTTTAAAATCTACGATTGGCGAAAGCAGTTATAGTAATCAGGTATTTTTTGAAGATGGCGCAGTGTTTAATAAGGTAAGAAAAGAAAGCATTTTATTTCCTATACTTATATATGGTATAAATTTAAATTTTCAGGTTTATATAAATATTTTACAGAATTTATCTTAATTTACTTTATAAAGAAGTTCTAATTGTAGTATTAACATGATATGTACCAATTTTTTTTAAATTTACCATCTCATAAGAAAGTTGATTTGAAGAACAGTATGATAAATGGAATTATTAAACTTGAAGAGCTTTTGGACAAAGAAAAGTACATTTGGAAGAATCGCCCGTGCCCTATAAAGACTAGACTCACTTTTAATAAAGGTTTAACTCTCAAACATAAAATAAGATCGGTTGTGCTAAAAGATGACAATAATTACAACGTAAATTATGACAAGCATGAACGTTTGTTATTCTTTGTTCACGATGGCCTATTGAATAATGTCCACATTGAAAAGTTGAAAGAGGAGGTTTGGTACAATGGTTTTGCTCTCGATATAGATATAGATAGGCAATTAATATTCAAAGACAGAGTGATCATTAAAGGTTTTGGTTAATTATTTTTGAGATTATATAACAATTATATTAGCAGTTACAAATCAGAATAGTAGTTATAATTATAAATGTTGTTTTTACCTATATTATGTTTCATAGGGAACCCCAAGCGATTACTAATAGGGAGATATATATGATAGGCGAAGAAAAAAGGCGAACGCCTATAACCTTTTATTCTTAAGAGGAAATGTCTCAAAATAGGTCATTTGTTTATACTTTTTACCATGTGTTCATTCCGAAGTGAAAGGATCTACCTTTAAAAGAAACAATTTTTTGTCCCTTTTCCAAAATAATTTTGGTATTCTTTGCTTAGGCAAAAGTACCTTCAAATTTTATAACATATATTCTTCAAAATATAACTTACAATTTAGTCAGAGGTTCCTATCTCACCTACAAGACGATAAGAGCCATTTATGTTTGTTCACTTACTGGGTTATATGGCAATGGGTAATAAGTAAATAAAACTGTTAAATTGCAAATTATATCTAAGATGATGATAATTCCATAGAATGCATCTGGATAATAATCCTAATTACAATATAATCTAGAGATAATCTAAATAAAAATTGTGATGACCCTACTAAAATAATTAGGGTTGAAGTAAATTACTAACTATCCGATCATGATAATGATTTGGTCTATTAAGTAATGAATAATAATCTTTATAATTCGAATGGCGTTATCACACTACCCCCCCCCCCCCCTCCCCCATAGAGAAGGTATAAAACCTCAAAAATTATAGCTTCGTTATAGAAATAAATTATTAAAATGTGGAGGATAAAATAAATTTAAAAAACACTGTAAAACTTGTCCTGGATGGGCAATGAACCATTTTACGTATGTTCTTCTTGCGTGGAGTTTAAATTAATATTTAAATTGTTCAGAAATAAAATATTTTGTGTTTGGTTTTGTAGTTTAAATTTGTTATTTACCATTAGCTAGAATGATTTGTCTCAATCCATGGTTGTTGGTAAATATCAAAATGCTTGATTTATATTAATGGAAGGAATCTCAGAGTTTTTAATTTGCAGTTTAATAATGAATATCTAATGATATAATTAGTTTAGCACATATATTGAAATAAATATTTTCTCATATATGAGTAAAACATTTGCTTTTTAACTCCGGTTACCCCTAAAACGGTATTGATTCCAGAACTTTAAACAACCAAAAAATTTATTTTAATTTAATTTTGAAAGTGAAGATATAGTCTATTATCTTTTTTCGAAAATCGATAATTTAGAAGATTTTACAAATGAAATATTTTTATCAACGTAAAAAAAAATATTTATCTTAAATTATTTTACAGGCGACATTATCCTTCCATCAAACGCGAGGATAAATGATTTAACCTTTAAAAACATGGTCTCCCATAAAAATCCCAAACATCTATTCAGTGGTTCAGACATATTAGTTTTTACTAATGGATTCAGAGTTACGAATGATATGTCTCTCAATAGCGAAGCCTTGATTTTTGGGGTCAATTTTACCGAATTAATATCTGAGGCGTTGAGGAAGAGTGACGACATTAATTTTCCCAACAACGTTACCTTTGCATCGCACATTCATTTCAAAGGACCGGTCACGTATAAATATTTTTCAAAAATATTTTTTTATGGTTTAATTTCTGAGTAATTTAGATATATAACTAGGTGTTTTTCACATAGGTTAAAACCTGAAAGTAAAAGAAAAGTAATAAGTTAGGTATGACATTCATATATTAACAATTATATTTATAATAACATCCAAACTGAAAAGTTGCTAAATTTTCCATTTTATTTGAAAAATATTTCATTTCTGGCTAGTCTGATGGGAACCCTGAATACAATACCAATTAATAGAGATAACTTATTAACTAAAAATGATAAGCAGTATATAAAGACACCACTGATATTTCAAGATGGACTCTGTTGTGATAAAGCTGAAATGGTTGTGGAATCGGGATTGATAAATGACATCTATATTCATGACTTGGAGATAAATTATGTGAATTCATTTTAAATAATATATTTAACTATTTGCCATTAACCAGCTAAGATCTGATAAGGACAATGTAGTCAATATAGCTTGGACTGTAGAATCCTCGCTGCCTATAACTTTTAATGGAATAGTGCACTTGTTAGGCAGCATGAATGGAATTAAGATGGAATATATATCCAATGAATTAAGAGAATTGAGCGAAAGCTTTGACGATATGAAAGTTTTAAAGGAAACATCAAATGATCAATGCTTAGCTCTGAATACTTCCCATGAGAGTATCAAAAGTAAATTGTAAATCTAAGGATTTTATATATAGACATTATAAAAAAAAATTAGATGCCGCTATATTCGTTGAGAATGTAATTTTGTATCAGGAATTAAGATTAATAGATATCGATAATAAGTTATGTATTCAAGGTGAGATTAGTAAAATCCTACATTTTACTATCTCGGACCATGACTACCTCTTAATTTCACAAAAAACTCGGTGTCCGATAACGAATTGTTTCTCGCATCTCTTGTATAGACGTATGTCTGATCAAGCCTATTTTCATCCTTTTGAAGTAATATATTTTTTTAAAATAGAAATATGAATTTATTCTTAATATTATTTAAATAAATCATATTTTATAGGTTATTTATACAGCTAGGGAAGCCCGTTTGTCGACGAAAACGATAGGTAATCGTTTGTTTATATTCGCCTCAGATGCTTATACGCGTAAAGATATTGAAGAAAAACGTGATAATAAAATGTGCTCGCCAAATCTTTACAAGGCATCATTAAGTGGATATGACAATGTGACAGAAAGTGATTTGAAAATTATTTGTATTTATTTTAAAAAAAATATATTTCGAACATATTACAATAAGTAATACTTTTAAATATCTATTGCACGCCTATCTGCAAATACAAAATATTTAGTATATGTGTTTTATCATATTAAATTTGTTTATTTAAAACACTAGATTTTTAATTAAAAACGTAATAGAAAAAGTTAGGAATAAATGTTTTATTTAAATATTATTCTTACTTTCCTTTTTACCTATATAATGTTTTATATTATGTGGTCACTACCTACTTCAGATAATGACGCTTTTTACAGTCAAATATACTATATCCGTCATGAGCCGCCCAACTTAGTAGGACTGCACCTCTATCAGACTATTTATACAGGATCTCCCATTAACCATAAAATGTTTTCGATTCAGAATGCCTCCCTGGCATTAAATTCTACATGCGTAATGCTGGCTTATCAAAATCCAGAAAATGATTATTATTCACCCTTGAATAATCATAAAAAAAATTATAAAAATGCAGAGCTTAAAGATGGTTATGATAATGATATTTCTTTGAATGCTACAAAAGCTGAGATTAATATTAAGGATATGAAACTCTCCAAAATATATTGCAGTGATCAAGGCCATGATGATGAGAATAAAGGGTTTCTTTCTTTAGCTCATCTCTCAACGAAAACGATTGAGAAAGTAAGAATGTGATAACATAATATTAATATATCACGAAAACGCATTTTTAAACTGGGAAATAATATATTATGATTTTTACGTATAGTAGATATTTATTAAAAATTTAGATGGATTTTGCTTTGATTGGAGTAAATTTATTCATGGTCGTGGTCTACAAATCGAATATGGACGACGATATTAATTATTTACCTCCCACATTATATAAATGGTCGAATTTTCAAGTAGCACGAACCAATCAAAATTCTTATGCGAATTATGAAAATTTTAAACCTTTCCAACATTTAAGAGCCCTTGGATGCAGAGATGTCAAATTCTTTGTTATAAATTCGGAAACATACTTAGCATTCGTACAGAGTGGCAAAGATTCTAATTCTCGAATCGATAAAAACCTACCGTTACTTATATTTAAGTATATATTTTTGGCTGAAACTTATGATAATGGCGAAGAATAGTCGCAGCCATTGCTTACGAAGAATTGTTATTATATTAATAAGCAGAATTGGGTACCAAGGTGATCTAAAACCTGGTTCAATCCCTAGTCAGAACCTTTTTTGCATTTAATATTAGATTAAAATTTACCCCCTCCCCTTCTCCCGGTAAAATCACCAAGATTCTTATGGCTTATACGTGAGGGTTAACATATAAAAAATTTGGAAAACTATCCGTTCATTCAATTATTTAGACAGAAATTAATCTTTTTAAAACTTTCAATAAATAAATATATGGTATTATTGATTTTTCCGTATTCTTAAAACATTAAATAAAATTTTATATTTAAATTATCACAAAAGAGACTGATTATTTTTAAAGACATTATTTCGTTAAAAAATCTTATATTTAATTTATATTTAAGGTATCAAGAATACAAACATAACCATTTCGATTTAGTGCAAACAATAGATACGCTTGAAGCGAGTCAGGTAGAATTTTTATCCCTGGACTCAAAGGGATTGAATTATCTTTTAGTGTTAACGGATGGAGTCTCAAAACAAACCATTGGAATTTACAAATATTCTGGAACGTCCTATTTCCTGAAGGAATTTTCTATCGTGCTAGAAAGTAAATAATTAGTTAATTTAACAAGAATATGAAAGATCTCATGCATTAAATAATGAGAATATAAAAAAAATTATAAATATTTTTGGATGAGCAAGAACAAATTTTGTTTACAGGAATTATTTATTCTATGACATTAAAATATGGCGATAAAAATATTAACCCTCTATTGCGTACATCATATTTGCATACACATAACATAAAAGAAGGTATAAATTTTTTTACAGCTTAATACACATGATGTATTAGATACACATATTTTATTTATTTCTATAGTTAATTTTGTCAAAATTGAAAGAGAGCTATTAATATAAAAATTCTAAAATACATAGTTAACAACTTGAATAGTTGCATTTTTTCCATTTTATAAATTATGTCATTTCTCTTGTACAAATTTTTAAGGAACATGAAATTAAAAATTCTATTAAATAAAGGTAAAAGAAATGTTTTATATATAAATATATTGTTATATTCATTAATAGTATATAAAATTTAAATTTTAAGGTATGTGTACCATATACATAATGCGCACAAATGCAATATGAATTTGGGCTTTTTTGAAATTTTTTTTTATATTATCAAATGTTATTTATTTGCTACCTATAGTCAAAATATTTGTATTCCAGAAGATAGTTCTGATTCTAACCTTAGTATTTCATCAGATGAGAAAATTCTTGATTCAAGATCAACAGATGTTGATTCTAGCGGAAATGCGGTATTTCAACTATTGGTACCACTACATTTCAATTTTAAATTGTGTTTTGATAATTGATTCTGTGGTATATAACTTCAAGTATTACTCGCCCAAAAGGGTTGCTACAGCGAGAGCTAAAAGAATTTATACTTGCCAGTTTCCAACTGAAAAAGAATTCTAAAAGATTTAGTTAGATTCACATAAGATCAAGTAAATGGCATCACCGTATATTCCATATACTTGATATGATGCTCATAAATCTTGGTTAATGTATAGGCGAGATTTTATAGCTTTAAAGGTACAGGTAAGAGAACAGATGCCATTATTAATATTTAAAATTTCAATAGCAGATACTCTCTAAATGTAACCAAAATATGAACGCTAACGTAAAAAACAAATATCAATTGACACCAAATGTGAAGAAAAATCTAGCAAAGTGCTGACAAATCTTATTATACACAAAGAAATAAGACAGGATTTAATAGCACATTGGCCAAAATAGTTAAAAGGCTCGATGCAAAACCCCTGGGTATAAATTGGTTACGAAAGTGATTTGTACCAAATATGGTGTATCATTATGTTTTACTATAAAAAACGATTGTTTAAATTATTTCATGAAAATTAATATAAATTTGTTATATTACATTATTTATCAAATAATAAAATTATATTTCTTTATTTTGTAATAGGTTTGAAATTGAAAAAATATGATACTTTTACACGCATTGTATAACACACACTTAAATTTATTTTACGGTTTAAAAATTATTTTGTTTATTAAGGGCCCTTTAAAGACAAAAATAAGTGTTTTTTTTAAATTATATCATTTATTGATATGTCGCGCAATAAAGGGTTAAATAATATTGGATGATTGATCTAATCCTTTTCTAAATATAAGAGCTACGTTTAAAATCATATTTCTTGATATAATAATTTTAATTAATATTTATTTGATAAACCTACGAATTATATTAATGTTACCAAAATTAGAGCCAACAAATAGTTTTCACAGTTTTGTGGGAACTAATAACATCTATATCGTGACAACGACTAAATTAACTGAGGTTCCCGAAGAATTATACTCAGATAACTATTCTGTTCATCGAACCCTCAATGATTCTAACCTTATAAATGCCACAGAAAACCACGCTTATGAAATGAAAAGAGATGTTAAAGTTGTAGGAGAAATCTTAAAACTTCAAATGTCAAGCAAAAACAATACTTTGCATTGTTCAAAAAATAACACCCTAAACTAGACCTAATTTATAAGACATTATATTAATGAAAATTATTGTGTAAAAACAACTAATACTAAATTTATATGGGAATATTTATTTTATATTATAATATTTTATGGGTACGATATTATTTTATTAAGTGGCATCAAAGTCAAAAATGATGATTTTATTTATCTCAAATTTTCAGTTAAAAAATATATTAAAAACTAACACTTCAGAAAGCGTATATTTTAAAAAAGCATTATTTAATAATTTAGTACAAGTATATATAAAAAATATTAAATTTAGCTAAAATTTTTAAAGGCTAAGGCAGTTTCCATTTCACTTTGTCGGGAAAGTTGAGAAACTTTTGAAGATTCCTTTGATTCGCTGCTCAATATTTTCTCCAAATCAGCTCGAATACCTTTGTTTATGAGGGGAATTAAAAGTATAAGATATTTTGATTAAATACTTATTACATTATTTTATGCCTAAAAAAATAATCGAATAATATATTCGTAAATTTTGAATCGAATTCTTTTTTCCCAGATATTTTTCTAAGAAGACAACAAAAAGGATTAAATTCAAACATTTTATTGCATTATTTACTAAAATTTAAAATTTTTGTATATTTAAAAATAATATAAATTTATTAGTCAGGATTTTATTTATTCGTATTCCTTTTAAATTTTTCTAATTGAATAATTTACCATTTGTAAATTTCGAATCTAAAAAAATATGGTATAAATTTTGATAGGCCTATATTGTATTATTTAGGTTAGTCTCCTTATAGAACCTAATCAACCCCTAATTCATTACAAAGGAGAAATTTAATTCATAGGTGGGAGTGGTCATCTTCGTTAAATTTAAAGGTCACTATTATTGTAATATGCTTTCTAATTATTCATCTCAAAATGACTTAGAAATATTTAATAAAAACGTTGAAATTAGAGGTATTAATCATACTTGACGCTTTGTTAGCTCAGGGATCTAAATCTTAACTTTAATAAATTAAAAAATTGGTCCAGCAAATTATCAACTTCCACTTACCAAACCTGATTGTTTATGTATAACTTAGTCTTATATGAATCAAATAATTGTTTATTGTAAATTAGATTAGTGGTGAAGATTTCCAATCGTATACTGAAGTCTGATATCATAACATAATGTAATAAAAATATCTTGCCATCAGATTGTTCTAATCTAATTGGATCGTTTAAAACATAGATTATATATACATTAAATCTTGGAACAAATAGTGCACTATATTACCCTACTTCATTGATATCCCACCCATTTTAGTTTACATTAATTTTCACATTCAAAAATAATTATTAATCTCTTAAAAAAATTAAAATCTTAAACAATATACATAAATATATATGAAGTTATTATGTAAAAATTTATTTAGAATTTAATTTTTAAAAATTATAAAGAAAATATAGGTTTTAAAAAAAGATCCGCCCACTCTGCTAAGGTCAACAAAATGTTCACCCATACCTATTTTTAAAAAATAACTATTGCCTGCTTATTTTTAATACAATTATATTTTAATTTAATATTTCTTCAAATTAGTGAATGTAAAACTTAAAATATCCGCATTTGTGAGATCGCTATTATCTAATAAGAAAATTCAAGAAAAGATAGTAAACTAATTAGCCATAAGTTAATCTAACATTAGAGATATACAACAGAAATATAAAAATATCTGGGTAAAACCTTTCAAAGGAACTTCAAAGGATAACTAATTTGAAATAGGAGGATTCTATGAAAAATCGGCATGTTTCTTCAAAAATAGGATTTGATAAGATTCCTGCAATTGAGGGACACTTTCATATGAACGTATCAAAGAAGATCACAGTCAAATAGGATATTCGTTCTATAAGATAAAAATTGAAATTTTGTTTACATCATCCTATTACAAATATCCTTAGAAGAAGACATTTTTAACAACATTACAAAAGAAGAAAAGATTTAATTGGGTTATAATATCGAAAATGGCAAAAGAGCAATAGAAAAACTATTCCGTAACGATTAAAATTTGATATAGTTTTGAGTAGGATCATAAGAACCCGAGCAGTTTATATCTTGATTACTTATAAGAACCATTAAATTTTCATATAGTGCAAAAGTATAAGGTTCGATGCCTTGAATATTCTAATAATGTCTTAAATAAAATGATATCCTCAGAAAATTACTGATCCTTTAATTATTTTATCACCTTCCAGCAAAATGAATCTCCTTATCATACCGCCAAATAAATTTGTAACCATGCTCCTGATTGTAATATTATTTAAAACAACTGGGCTTACTCAAACGATAGCTTAGAAAGTAGCGGCATAGAAGAAATGATTACTTGAAGAATATATTAAGAGTTTATATGGAAATCGATAACCTAGAATGGGTGCCAGAATCTTATTCATTTAATGCCAAAAATAATATCTTGTTAAGCGCGCGAAGTACCGCAATGTCGTTCGAGTGATGCATATACACATATGTATTCGTTTAGTGATGAATTATGCATCGCTTGAGACATTGATGTATTTTGCGCTTTATATAAACGAGACCTATATAATAATATTTTAAAATATCTGGAAAAAATAATGATTTTGATAGTTACATATTATAAATCATATAAGTATAATATAAAAATTTCTATTAAATTGTGTTCATTATATATTGTTACTGCAGACAATAATGTTATTGTAATTTTTTTGAGTTGATTATTTTTTAAATTAAAACTTTTAATAAGAAAGTGGTCGGATATCAATGAGGTGGAGTAGTGTATTATAATATACTCTATATAATAGATTTTTAAATTTATGGTGGAAATATTGAATTAGATTTTAAGATCCCTTCATAAAATAGGGAGTAAAATTTCCCACTTTACGAGAACTACCAAACACATTTTAAGCCTTGCATAGTATAAAATTTATCTATGGATAACCTCTGATGAAGCTTGGCAGATTTGAAATACATTTGCATTATAAAATTGGGCATTGCTACAATAACTTTGAAAGATGATGATATAGTGAATCCTTTATATAATAAAAGTCATGTCACAGTCTGTGAAAAAGTGCAACAATTTCAGGAGGAATAGAACTCGAGACTAAATATATCTGAACATTTGTCGAAGCTGCTTACTGATATGCCCTCACGAGTTTTTATGAAAGTGATTGTATTTTTAAATGGATTATGATTTTTTTTTTTAAATTTTATTAGTTCTCAACTAGGATAACATTTCTGGTTGTTAAATGTTATTAGATCATTAAACTTTATTGCTGAAAAATTTAAAAATTGGTGGCCACAAGATTTTTGCGTTACGCCACTTAATAAAGATATTAGGACACCTTCCCTAGAAAAATTTCTGTATATACCACTATAAAGGGCAGCATATTATTTATAAAATCTTAATGGCTGTTTTAGCAATATAACTTAAATATTTTTTTAAGTGCTATACTTATCAAATCAAACGACTTATTATTCACTGATTCCAGGTTATTTTTAAAGATTCTGCCATTTTTGTAGATCAAAACTTGAGGCAAATTTGAGTCTGGAAAATTCGGGATGCATCTTGTGCTAATAATTTTAACGAATTTGAATCGTGAATTGAAGGTGTGAAGCTTTGATAGCTCTTCCATAGATCGATTTATTAACTGGCATGGTAGAATACTTAAAATTTTCCAAAATAAATAAAAAATTATTTTGATATCTTTAATATATTAATACTTAATAATTCTGTAGAAATATTTATAAAATCTCACTGTTATTAAATATAAATAGTTTATAATGTATTAGGTTCGGGCTGGTCAGGCTTAAAATTTTTTTAAAAAAATTAGTACTGGGCTTAAATTTTGAAATAAAATTGGTATAATTTAAAAAAATCTGCTAGAAAAAAGGAGCCAATTTTTATTTGTTTGTAGAATGATCAAAAACTCGATTTGTTAAAAATGTAAATTATATTGAAAAAAAAAGAATCTATATTTAAATGAATTCGGGCTGGGAAAGTAAAGAATCTTTATCTAGGGTCGGGCTTCGCGGGACAAATAGAAAAATAGTTCGGGATTTAGCAGGACAAATTTTTTTGGCCAGGCGCTAGAAAAATTAAGCCCGATGCAGATCACTAGCCGATAAATTTATGAAATGATATTATTTTTATGATAAAATTTAAAAAACACTAATAATTTGTAATAAATACTATAGACAAAATATATTTTATCAATTTGCCTATATTAGTATAAATCAAATAACTAATAGTTTTAAATAAAAGTAATTACCTATTTTGATATAAATGCACTAAAACATATAAATTTGGATTGGCAGCGGAAACTTGACCTTTAAAATCTTCCCCGGTTATCTCTAAAACTTGGCTAAACAATTGATTTTTATTCATCATGATATCTTGGGCCTTTTTTTGTCTTATATGTATAAATTAATGCAATATATTTATTAAGTAATGAATCATCTGGCCCTCCTTTAAATAAAATTTTGCATAGTTCAGTATACTGAATGGTGCTACTATTTTTTATTTGCTCAAATTAATTAGTTCAGGAGATATTAGGGGTCAAAGAGTAAAAAATAGTGTCTTCTCCCCTCCCTTAAAGATTACTCGGAAAATTTATTGTGCCTATATTTGGTATCATTAGAAAGCCCTGAAGTTCTTTAATTTAAAAAAAATACTCTTTACCAGAAAAGATAACTGTAGATTTTTTTAGTATCGATGGCGCTTTTATATTTCCTGAAATTTTGTATCAATTTAAAAAAAAATTTTAAAACTCAGCTGTTTTGGAGATAAATTATATTTATCCGGTATTTGAGCTTGAGTAGCCTTGATAAACTTTCACAAAGAGAAAAAATATTTAAAAAAAACTAATATATCATATTATTGAAAACCTCTAAAATAGTTTTAAAATAATTAACTTTTAATCTATTTGGTTCATAAAAATATTGTTTATTAAAATAAATTTATTATTAATTATTTGCGTAATGCCATCTATCTTGAATATTTTTATTGACAAAATTTTTAAAAAACTTGAAATTTATCCCAGCCTAATTTTTTTAGTATAAATTTATACTTATTTAATAAATACAATTCAAAAAAACAAATAAGCTCAGAAAATTTAAACGCATCACCGGTATTAAATATTCACCTTTACTTTTTCCGAAAACACTGGAGATTAAATTTTTTTTAAATAAAGCAACTCAATGATATCGAATGATATGATAAATAGGTCTATAATCTATACCACTTAAATTTTTTGAGGAATCTTTATTTTTATGCGTTTTGCTAATTTAAGAAAGTACATTTTAAACTCTAATATCTCATTGAACAAACAAAGTTAGAGACTAAAATAATTGATTGCATACTATTTCTCATAATATACTTTTATGATAATTTCATTTAATTAGAAAGTCCAAAAAGCCTTTTTTGTTGAAATGAATGACCCAATGGCCATCTCCGTAAAAATGGTATTAAATAAAATAGAACAAAAACTAACACTCATTGCCTCGACATAATCTTGTACTGTATAATATAAATAGATGTACTAACCAAATGCATTTTAATTTAATGAATGAATTTTGATTGGTATTTTCGAGTCATTAATAAAATAATTTTTTTGGAGTACAACACAAGTATTTTAAATATTTTGAATACTTTTTCAAAAAATCCTTTATTGATTTATAAGAGTAATTTACAAAAATAAATCATATACACTAGAGATGTAAATTCCGGGAAAATTGGTTCAGGGGAAATTTCCCCGGGAAAATTGGAGAAAAAGGGGAAAATTAAAAAATAACCAAAAAATACACCATAAACCTTTCAATTTTTTATTATTGAATAACTTTATTAAATTTGGGGAACTAAGGGAAAAAAAAATAATTAAACATAAGACAAAAAGACACTTGTACACATTTCATTTTTTTTATTGAATAACTTTATTAATTATACTAAATGTATTATAAATTACATTTAAAATTCATGGGATGCTAATGAAATGGCATCAACATCTTCGTGGGATGCAAATGAAATATCATCATTATCACTTGATATTGATAAATAGGAATCTGAACTCTTTTGATGATGTCCTGAACATTATATTTGTGTGATCCTTTAAATGATTGTTATGCCTGATTTGATATTAATTTTTCAACACTTTGATTCTTTATTCTATTACTCATTTTTGAATGAATTTTTTCAAATGCTGAGCAAACTCTTTCTGACGGCACTTGAGGGTTGTATCGAAAGACATCTTACTGTCACTTGACAAAGAGGTTGATTTGTACACAACCCTTTCCACCATATGAGTGGTTTGGTATCTATCGAGTTCTTCCGTGTGCCAGCTCCTTTATAGAAACCTTGTTTTGAACGATATTTTGCTAAATCACCATAAATTTCTAATATCGCAATTGATTTGGCCTGAAATAATATTTATTATATTTAAAGTTACTGTGAATTCGCGGTCTTTTAATTTACACCATAATATCTAGGATCCAGAAGATTTGTTGCATAATGATATTCGGCAACAAAATTTCTTTCGTTTATTAATATGCATCTTAACACTTTTCAAATCATTTTTATTAAAAATAAAAGTTGATTGAGTTTATCTTTTATATCCCAAAATATTTCTGGTGCGTCAGATAATATCGCTTATCCGATTCTACAATTATAATTTTGTTATAAATTCCAAAAAAGTCAGCACAGACTCTAATTTACCCCAGTATCCTACTTCATCAAATATAATAAGCCTTCTTTGTTTGTCTATAAATAAACTTCAAATAGCAATTTCTTGCAAAACTTCCTTATTTATCATAATACTGCAACATTATAACAAAACCTCCCCATCTTATCGGACTTGTAAGGAAGATTTATATCCTTTCAATATTTGCCTTTCTTTAAAAGTTGCCAATAAAATACTATTAAATTTTATGTATTTGTTTGGTTTTTATGATGATCTTTTTAATAGCAATTCAAGCAATGTGCGGCACATTCAAAGCATTCATAATTATATTTTGTCTTAACAAGACTTAGGCCTTTTTCATATTCTTTGCATTAGCAGTTACTAGTTAAAAATTTTTTTACTACCAATTTCTTCAAATACCTTGATCAGTTCAGATGCGATATCCTGCGTCAATGGATTTAAAGAGAATTGTTTCTGTGGAGTCATATTTATGAAATTAATGATGGACTCTCCATGAATGTTTATCCAGCCATCGCTAATGAGAGTAAAATCTTTTAAAGTATCGAATTTGTTGTTGATAATATATGCCCCTTTATTATATTCAAAATCTAATAATGTTTTACTAATTGTATATCTTAGATGGAATTTTATAGGCAAAATTAATAAAATATTTATTTTCGCTAAATGAAAATAGCAATTTGACATAAAAATAGCTAATGCCAAAGTATGTCAAGTTGTGTTTGATTTTTTTCAGTTACAGTGTCAAAAAAAATTTTAATTTTAGATGTGCCTGATACATTATTAAAATTATTGGTATTTTTTTTAAAGTATTTAGAATCATTTTATTTATGTATTTTTGGGATATTTATTAGGATTACTGGAATCTGGTATACATAATACAAAATCCTCTTCAGTAGAATTATTATCATCAACTTCATTAAATTGTAAACTTTTAATATACTTTTGATTTTTGATATGCTGAGACATCTTTGTTGAATTTGGGAAATTATATGTCAATTGACAATATTTGCATATTTACCCTTGTTATTAGCTGTATCTTTAATAAAATGTTTCCATATGTTGGAAGTTTTCCTGGGCATTTATAAAATATTGCAATCATATTAATTTAAATTTAATATCAATAAATTATTATACCAGTTATATAGTATAGTATGATTAAAATAAAATGATCCTTTATATCAAATCTAAATATATCATTAATTATTAATAATTCTATAATATATCATATTAATATTATGTATGAGAATATAATGTTTAACATTTTACCTTTGTTTTTCTACTTTTAAAATTATATATTTGATGAGTTGCACTAAAAAAAATAAGTTTAAAAGCTTACGAGTAAAATAAAAATTATTTTAAATATTATGGTATAATAAATTAAATTCTAAACCATAATTTTGAAATAAAATATTATATTTTATAAAATATAAACCATAATTTTTGCAATAAATTATTATATTTATATTAAGGGAAATTTTCCTACCTTTACATCTCCAATATCAGAGTTGTTAAAGTAGCGCGCTAACTTTTTTGCTAGCTATAGCTAATGGCGGCTACTTTTTTTGTAATTATTTAATTTTTTAGTGCGCTACTTCGCTACTTTTAAAAAATATAATGAAGGTAAGTGTAAACACGAAAATTTAAATATAATATCATAATTAATTATAATTTTTATGATTTATTATTTAATTTTGAAATTAAAATATATTTTTAATTTATATTTTCATTTGTATTATAAACCTAAATCACGTGTTAATAATTTAAAATGTCATCGCCTATGGATACCAAATCGTTGAAAGTGATTCAGACAATGATATTAATGAAATGGAAGATACCAGGGAAGAAAATTTCTTAATAGCTATAATACAAATTTCCCATTCCCTAGATTTGAAATTTTTTTTAAATAAATATAACCAAAACTTGTTTCAAATTTATTTGTTTAAAATGTAAAAAAAAATATTTCCTCAAATCAATCCAGTAGCTATAACCTCAAGAAACACCTAAAGGTAAATTGTCATTTTTACATTCTAATAATATTTATCTTATAAGACTGTTCATGAGTTTTAAGGAAATGGAGAAACATCTAAATAATTTTGGTATAGGCGGCTCTACATCCAGAAAGACTAATTCAATTCAAACCAAATTAATTAATAATGCAAATGACAATATTTCCCAGAAATTGGCTGATAAAGTTATTGTTGATTTTATAATTTATACAGTTTAGCCAATGTCCTTAGTTGATAATCCATCATTTACCATGATAATTAAAACTCTATCCCCTGATAAAACAATTTTATGCCGCCAGACACTAATAAATAAAATAGCAGATAACTTTAAAATGATGAAAGATGCTCTAATAGTAGACTTATCAGAGATATCATATATATGTACCACGGGAGATAGTTGAACACATAACAGAAGGTAAATCTTATTTATAATTATAAATTGATCTGATTAAATATTTTTGAGCTTATTTGGGAATCACAGGCCATTGGCTAGACCCTAGAACTTTAAAAAGAATATCTGTGGCATTAGCCCTCAAAATGATAATAGGATGCCAGACATACGATGTACTTGCAAATAAAATTATTGATAATCTATCTTATATTAAAAATATGTATATAAGATTAAATACGCCCTTACCCTCAAGTGCTAGTGTCGAGAGATTTAATAAGGCAAAACTTATACTTTCTGATCGTCGCTCTAGACTTGGGGATGATAATAAATGATTTTATTATTATGCAACAAATTACCATAAATATTTATTTTTATTACATAAATTTTTTTATAATCAAAACTAACTATATTTTAATATTTATAAATGTTGATTTTTATATATTTACTATACAATAACATTATAAGCAAAAAATAAAAAATTTGTTTGCAAAAGCTAAAGCTACTTTTAAAAAATAGTAGCTAATAGCGAGCTACTTTTTTTGACAAATAGCGATAGCGTCGCTAGTTTTAAATAGTATGATTCTCTTGGTATCCTGGACCCTTGAGTAAAGGTCGATAATTGGGCACCTTGGCTAAAAATATAAATGGTAATATATATTGTTCCATATGCCCTTGCATTTTTAGGAAATCCCTTTTAACGTATGAGAGGGTCTACACAGAAGTAATCGGATGCAAGAAATTTTCCCATTTTCAAAAATTAAGGTTATTTCCGGGTGTTGTAATAAGGGTTTAGTAATCTAAAGGGCTCCAAAGTTGATGGGATGCCCTTAAATCTTTTTTAGATGCTGCTATTATATCAGATATGTTAAAGGATTTACCCCTGTTTATATATACAATATAAGGAGTATATTACTGGTTGTAAGAGTTTGGAGCACAAGGTCACTTGTGAGTGTTATGACACAATTTAACCTTTTTCCAAGGGTAAAACTAATCTCTTAAAGACCAAGTTCGAGGCCCAAGTTTTTGAATGAAATAAAGTCAATATACTCGTGCTCGGATCCAAAGCTAAAGAAATTAGGCTGCCAATTGAAGTCTGGGTTTTAAAGATATTTGTGTCTTTGAATAAACTTTATATAAAAAACTGAAAATAAATCAGAATAAAATATTATATAAATAAACTGCTTAATTTGTAATTTTATATTGTCCATTCATAATTTTTATAAAATAGTGATAAAGTTGAAGATGATAGAAAAATTCTTTGTGAATATGAACGATCAAGCTCCAAAGTCCATCCAATTCAAATAACCAATAATCAGTCAAATGATGGTGATTATTCTTTTTCAATTCAACAATTTTACAGTCAAATATTATAAAAAGAAATAAAGCTAGAGGTGTTGCAATGTTTATGAAATAATTCCTATGAGGTCAATATTCTGTTTAAATATGTAGGAACTAAGGTTTTTTTAAATATTTTACTACCATTTAACCATCATCAGCACCCTTTGAAAGGCTGAGTTATTTACGGGTTAATTAACAAACGAAATAAATGTCATTTACACGAAACACTTTTAAACAAATAGTTACTTTAATTAAAAAAACATTTATAAAAGTGTATTATCTACATTTTATATATTTGCAGTGGCGTTACCAGAATTTATCGGTGGGGAGTTAAGATTTTTTTATAAACTCCTTTACTTTAAAGTTATCCATGTCATCTGAACTGAAAATAACGACTTCTAAATTCCGCAAATCCAAGCCATAAATTTTATTTTCTGCGTTTTTTCGCTTCCCATAAAGATCAAGGTTAGCTAGATCTAATAAATCCAATGATCAACATATTCTTTAAAAAGCCTATGTTCCTATTGCGCGATTCTTATAAAATAAAACTCTGAGGAATGGTGACTTAAAACATTATAATCCTATAATAAATTTTATAAACCATTTCTAAACTTGAAAATCATTAAATAAATTTAGGTTAAAAAAAATTAAAAGCTCCTATTTTTAAATTTTTTTTTATTATTAAACTGGTTTTAAAAATAAATATTCCAAAATAACTTACATTATTAGATATTATCACGGTATTGACTTAGCACTATTGTCTATGTGATTTGGGTTTTGCGATAATAATTACGCTATAAAATTTTCGCGTTTATTGATTCGCTATAAAAGTTTCCCTGTTATAGATTTACTCTTAAAAGTTCGTGGTAAGGATTTTGCTATGTAGTCTGCTCCGAATAGTAATCACGATAAATGTTTGACTAAAATTAACCACTATAAAAGTTTAGCGAAATGTAAAATTTTTGCTAAAGGAACTGGCGAAAATATCGGATTTTAAGTTGTGATTCAAATATTAATTATGTCTAAATACATTAAAGTTTTTTTCCCGATTCAAAAAAATTTTGAATCTTATTATTCTAGATCTTAATAAATATTCATTGTTCTTTCCTATTCATTAAATAGATATAGAAATAAAATAGTTAAATCTCTTTATATTTTGAATCGAGCTATATTTTCAAAAATTTGATATGAATGTGAATCTCAGAAGCAGTCGTAAGCATGAAGTTTGTCAAACTTTTGAAAGCTTCTAACATGTAGGCTATATATAATGCTATCTAGTATACTAGAGGTCATTGTAACCCTTCCCTAAGCCCGAGCTAAGAAAAAGATTTTCAGGCTGGACAAATTGTTTAAATTATACTTATGGACTACCGAAGTTTAGAAAATATTTCTAAAGCAGTTAATCAGGAAAATTTATGTCGTTTTTCTTCTAAAAAATTATTCCAGGATGAGCTGACAACTTGTACAGGTAAAAATAATTATGGACAGGGGCAAAAACCCCTATAAAAATTTCCATAGGCCAGGTCATGCTGATTAGAGGTCTGCATTAGGTGTGTTTTTGGACCATAAGCCCGCCCACCCAATGTTTTAAAAAATTTAACGCACCTGCCCACCCACATATTAGTCTAAAATTTTTTACCCGCCTACTCATTATTTAAAATTTTTTAACCTAAGCCTGCTATTATAAAATTTAATTATAGTCGTTCTTTCAATTTTTTAAGCATCTAATAAAAAATTTTTTAGCAACACCACTACAAAAGGTTTTTAGGAAATTACTAGCATGAAAAAAAATTTAAATTATGGATTATTTATTTGATCAAATAAAATATTTATGAAAATAATATAAATATAAAATTGATATTATATGTAATTAATAATACAAAAATAATAATAAATCGACATTTTCTGGATTCAAACATATTTTCCATTGTTCTAAAAACCTTCCAGTAATGCTAAATCCTTGTTCAGAAGAAGCACTATTTGCAGGAATTGCCAATATTTTTCTTGCTAATCTTGATAGCTTTACCAAAGTAGTTTTAAATATATAAAAAAGTTTTTTTACTTTAAGAAAAAAGTTTTTGATACCAAAAAAAGGGCATTTTAATTTTTAATATCCAAAAAAGTTCATAGGAACAAATTTTTATTAATATTTACTTAAATGATTAAAATTTTTTTAACCTGCCCACCCATTTTTTAAATTTTTTAACCCACCCACCTACTTAGATGGGCGAAACCCTGCTTAATGCAGATCTCTAAAGCATATAATATATTTTAGTAATATACTTCAATCTGGTTGGTAAACAGTAAAAATAAAAGATTTATTAGTAAATATGGAAATTTCTAAAATTAGTAACAAAACTCAAGATAAAACAAAATAGAAGCACTAAAGCAATTATAATAAAAATCAAATAAACAAAATATATATTAAAAAAATTATTATAAAAAACCAACTTTTATCTTATTTAAAATATAAGACTTGATATCTGTGGCTAAAGCTTTGATACTTTTATAATTTAGTAGTGGCTATAATAAAAATGTAGTCAAATAAAATTGACATTTTAGGAAAATGTGATATCAAAATAAGATAATTGGTTATGGAAAATTTTAATTTTTTTACCCACAAAAGCTAAGGTTGAGCTATTGTTTAGTAAATAATATTAATTTTGTTTTATACTTGGATATAATAAAGGTCAAAATCAATCCCACATATATTATAACGTCTTTGGGAAGTGTCATTTTTAATAGATATTCTTTATGTGAAAATTTTATTTAAAAAAATTAAATGTGCATACTATATTTATTCATAGATTTTTTCAAGACTTTTTAAAATGGGAAAATCAATTTCCATGATGATTTTATAAAAATTTTCAATTTAAAAAATAAATTTTCATATATAGATATCAAAATTTATGGCCAGGCCCATAACCAGGAATTCGAGGGAAGAGTTCATTTAGGGGTTTAAGGGGTGGCCTACCATGCCACCTACATAGCTATGGATGGGGCTGTTTGTGACCCAGGTGGTTTTTTTACAATATTTTATAAATTAATCCAAAAATAAATTGAAAATATGCCAGAAAATAAATGTTAAATGTTCCATTAAATATACCATTTTATGGTCAGGCTGATTTTACCACAGCCAGGGTTGGTTCTAGGCAGCATGTTTGCTTATTAGTTTATACGTTATATGTTTAATTTTCTTCCAAATTAATATTGATTTTATATAATAGTAACATTTTATCCAATTAATTTCAACAAAATATAAATATATGCAAAAATTTTAATTTTATAGTGTTAACTTTATAATTTACTGTATATTTTTTGATTAAATATTAACAAAGTTTTTTAAAATTTATATAAGTATTTAAAATCATTTTACCCATTCCTATATATAAATTTATGTTTCTCAATTATCTTTAATTGCTTTATAAATGTAAAAATATATACAATTTATAATAGGAATAAGCAGAGTTTTTAAGAATAATTAATAGCTATGAACCAAACTTGTATTTTTGAAAATATTCATCATTATCTTCATCTAGTTCTTCACTACTTGATCCTTGTTGGCCATCATGAAAATCGTTATTGGCTTAATTTTATGAATATTTTTTACAATAAAATGATTAGTATCATATTTATTATATTACAATTGTAATTATTAGCTACATCTTCGATAATATTTGTTATTTCTTTTTCTGTAAAAAGCTTTTTTGGTTCAATAATATTTTTCTTAATTAAAGCATCTTCCCATTCCGTTTTCCCAGGAGCATACTAGGTTTTTCTTAAATACACTATTTTATTTATGAATAAAAAACTTGATCCATTCCTTTTTTTCGAATTTCTTAAACGAATATACTCCCTTAAGAAAATAGTGGAATACAGTCATGACTGACAGGTAGTGTTGTTAAACGGCTCAATTTGAGCCGATTTTTAAAAACGGCTAACTCAATATTTTATCCAGAAAAATATTGTGCAAGCCTAAAAATTTTGCTCATAGATGGCACATAGGATTGGGCATCTATTGGTGAAATCTCGACGCTTAGGCAATATTTTCCTGACTATAATGTTGAATTAGCCGTTTTTAAAAATCGGCTCAAATCGAGCCGTTTAACAACACTACTAACAGGGATAATGTTGTAACAGTTGTGTCTCGAATACCATTTTAAGCGAATGTAGCCAGAGGTTTTGGGCGTTGTTCACCCTTATTTTCGTCATTGTTTATGCGCTTTTGGCACTTTTATGCTGTTAAAGAACAAACAAATCTACATCAAAACTGGGTGGAAAGATTAAGAGATTTAATGCAAGTGGGGTGGTCTTGCATTGAGATTTGAAATATGGATGTACGATGACACAAAGTCAGTCTTTATTTGGGTAAATTTAAGAACTTAAATTATTTGTTTGAGTAATTTTTATCTTTAAGAAAAAAGAAAAAGTTTTTTTATTATCTTTTCATTTAAAATACATCTATATATATGTATTTAAAATTAAACATAATTTAATATAACTAATGTCCAATTTACATATCACGATCTACAATTATTGCTTTAAACATTAAATCTTTAAATGTACATGTATATTAGCACTTTAGATAGACAAAAATAAATAGAGATATATATTATAATATGACCTTAAAGCCTAGTGTTGTTAAATGGTTGGTTTTTTTCGACCAAGAACCCGAGTCGAAGTCGTAAAAATTGGCACAACCCTGAGCCATGGTCGAAAAATCGACCACGACCCAGCCCGACCTATTGGGCCTGTTGAGGCGACCCTGGTTGGCTTACTGAGTCGGCCTGCTGGGTCGATTTGCTGGTTCGGCCTACTGGGTAGACTTGTGGTCGACCTGCTGGGTCGATTGGTTGCATAGGCGTAACCAGGGGGGGGGCAAAGGGAAATTCCCCCCCCTTCAGAAATTTTTCACTTTTTGTAAATATCATTTTTAGCTAATAAAAAATATCCCCCTTAGTCCTCCCTCCACTCCCTGATCCTCAAATATGTATGCATATATCTTAAATAATAATTTAAAAGAAAGAATGTGAAAGTTGATATTTTTTATAAAACTATTCATCATAATTTATAGATTTTTGGGAAAATAAATTTATAAATATATAAAATGAACCAAAAATGTTTTTTAATAAATGGAATATAAGCCAAAGATAAGTCTTAAGACAGAAGTGAAATGTATTATAATTATTAATAATAGATCCATAAAATTAATAAATAATATAATATATCAAATATAATTTTTTATAAAGTGAGTAATTTTAATTTATTAATCTTAATAAAAGTTTAATATAATTTTAAAACTATTGATAAAATTATCATAAATTAAAAAAATATTAAAGCACAATACAAACAGTGAAATATTATATGTCGTAGATTTACAGTATATCTAATTATCAAATGACAATCAAGTAATTTTTACCTATATAGCGAATAATCTATTTTACAGATAACTATAAAGTATTGATAAGGACATCAGAAAATATCTTTTAAAGACATTGTGGGATGAATAATATGAAAATTAAATTTAAATATCATTTTTCTTAAAATAGGCGTTAAATAATTGAATGCAAATTGTTGCATATTTAATATCAAGAGCATTGATTAGTAAAATTTGTTAAATTATTAACTGTAATATATTCTCTAACTGTCAAATATGTCTGTAAAAGTGGAATATTACCTAGTATTTTATAACTAATTTTATATAATAGAGTAAAATCAACTATATGTCTACTTACTTTTAATAAATAAATTACTTATAATTGTTTGGAATAAATTATTACCATGCTTTTATATTAAGGTATATACAATACAAGTAATTTATTATATTTTTATTTTATATAAACTAATAAAAATATATTTAATATTTGTTCCAGGATTATTTTTTTTATTAAAATTTGTAAAAATATTTTATGACTATATATAGACTAAAGTAACCCGGGTGAAGGACGGGGAAAAGCGGGCCGAAGGCCGACCTAAAAGGGGGTCTGGGGGCGAAGCCCCCAGTAATTTTTTAATTCCCCCCCCCCTTATGAAAATCCTGGCTACGCCTATGATTGGTTGGGCCTGCTGGGTCGATTTGTTAGGTCAACAAAATATATAGAAAATTAAATTAGTATTTTTAAACCGGATTCATAAAAATTTTTTAAAAATTTCTTAAGCCTAGTTTTTATTTTTGATACTAGAAAGATGTTCTTAAACATTTGGGTCTTGTAATAAATTGGCACTGCTATTATATTTTACTCCACGAGGAAAAAAATTTACGAATTTTATTTAAGATGTTGTTTTAAGCCTTGTTAAATGTTTATGATATTAGGAAGATGTTCTAAAACCTTTGGGTTTAGTAAAAAATTTGCACTGCTGTTATATTATTCTCCACGAGGAAAATAATTGTGAATTTCTTATGAGATGTTTTTTTAAATCTAGTTAAATGTTTATTTAGATCTAGTAATAAATTTTCACTGCCATTATATTTTTCTCCATAAGAATAAATTCTGAAAATTTTTTAAAAATTTATTTTAAGCATAGTTAATAGTTTTTGCTACTAGAAAGATGTTCTTAAATCTTTGGATCTTGTAATAAATTGGCACGGTTGTTATATTTTAACCCAAAAATAAAATTGTGATTTTTTTAAGACGTTGTTATAAACCTAGTTAAATGTTTGTGACATTGGCCTACGCAGCGGGGGGGGGGCGGACAGGGGGACAAATTCCCCTCAAAGCCAAAAAATGCAGATGCCGGATTTATTTTTCAAAAATATTATTGTTTATATTAATTTATATTTGTTAATATTTATTCGTATCTCATATTAAATATATATTTAATTACATGTATTATCACATTTATCTACTAAGTTATTTTATCAATTAATTTCGATTTCAAGTTTTCCGGCGTAATATTTACTTATTATTTTCAAATTTTTAGCGGCGTAATATTTATCTACCATTTTCAAATTTCTAGTCAAATAATAATTATTTCTGAAACTTGTTGTCCAACAGGGAAAAAGAAATTGCAACCTTGTCCAACGAGATAGAGTCTCTGCCATCAAGCAGTAACAGCTTTTAAGGAGTTAGAAGAGCCAATTATTTGCTATTACTGAAATATCACAATGGCCTGAAAGAAATATTTCTTCAGAAGCAAGAAAATTATTGGATTCAATGCTTATTCCAAATTTGATTTCTCATTAGAATGTATTATTTAATTATACAACTATTTTAAGTATTACTTTTCAAAAATATGACATTGACTTGATTAAGAAGATGAGAATAGCGGAGAGAATTTTATCAGAACTCAAGGAAATTAGGGCTAATGTTGATGAAGAATTTCATATTTTATTGTTGAGTCAAAAGCAGAGCTATACGTGTTTAATATTTGTCTCCCTCGACTTGTAGCAAGACAAGCTCATCGTTAAAACATTAATATAGGATCAGTAGGAGAGTATATCTTAAATACAGATACATTTATAACCCAAATAAATGAATTTTTAATTCATCATGCAGCACTTACTAATCTGCAAATATTACTTCCACAAAAGCCTTCCCAACCTTTTTCAGATGGTGATAGAAAAAAAAATATTTGTTAGATTTTTATTATATATATGTTAAAGTATCTTATGATGCCTTACTAGCTGAATAACTATGTTTATAAGATTAACTATGGTTAATATAGTCCCAAAAAATGTTATGGATGCTCTGCATTATTTCAAACACATTTTAGATTAAATTCCCAATGTATTAAAATGGTTATATATATTAGCAACTGTTCCCATTAGTAAATTAATGAGAGAATATTCTCTTTTTTAAGAAGAATAACAGAGGCATGCAGATATACCATTTGCTGGGCACGGCCCGAATTTTTTTTAAAGATTTTTTACGGCCCGGCCTGGCTTTTTTTAAAAAAATTTTAAGCCCGACTCAGCTTTTTTTAAAAAAATTTTAGGTCCGGCCCGGCTTTATTTAAAATAAAATTTTCAGGCCCGGCTTGGGTATTTTTTTTTAAAAATTTCGGGCCCGGCCCGGGTATATTTAAAAAAATTAAAATACTGTTCAGCCCGGAGGCCGGGCCTGCAGGTCTCTGAAAAACATACCAAGAAGTACAACATCTTAAAATAGATTAAAAGATTTGGATCTTTTGAATATTCATAGGCATTTGAGGACAAGTAAGGATGAGATAATTGAAAAATTAGCTCAATCACAACGAAGATTGGATTTTACATTGTAAATATATAACATATAAAATGCAATTATTCCTAAGAAACTTATTGTGTAAAGGCTCAAAAAAATCAAATTTCTATTTTGGGTCATTTAAGTGATTCTTTACATATAATTTTTTTATAATTCACATAAATTTAAAATTGTGTATTAGAAATAGTTATTAGTCCTAATAAATTTATGCTTGATATTTTTAAAAAACAATAATATTTCTTAAAAATTTTTATTATCCCCTCCCAGACCAAATTCCTGCGTACCCGCTTGGTTTGTGATATTAGAAAGATTGTCTAAAACCTTTGTATTTAATAATGAATTGGCACTTCCACTATATTCTATTCCACGAGGAACTAAATTATTAATTTTTCATATAATTTTGTCTTAAACTTAGTTTAAAGTATATGATACTAAAAAAAGTGTTCAAAAATTTTTGTAATAAATTAGCACTGTTATTATATTTTAGTCCACGAGGAAAAAAAATTACGAAAATTTATTAAAAATTTGCTATAAGTTTTTAGTTAACAGTTTTTGATAATAGAAAGAGGTTCAAAACTTTTGGGTCTAGTAATAAATTGGCACTGCCATTATATTTTACCCAACGATGAAAAAAATTTATGAAATCTTTTTTAAATTTTGTTTTAAGCCTAGATAAGTATTTTATATTAAATAGATGTTTAAAA